TGGTTATATTCCTAAAGGTTCATACTACAGAATTGCCCATGTGGGAAAAGCTCAGGATTGCTTTGGCGAAGATAAGCCGAATTTCGTTTTTTCAATTCAGCCATGGAAAAAACGGGAAAATGTGCATACGAGTGTCTCATATAGTGAGTCCATGCATGAGCAAGTTAGGTATGCCCAAGACTTTTCTGAACGGAGATACGATTTTTTTCGTGTTTTTAGATCCTTAGAACCTTATGAAATTTGGCTACAAACTTCACGCAAATCAAACCTGGCGCAAAGGTTCGAGCTTCATTTTGTAGGGCTTGCTCTGATCTGTCGGTTGATACCCGACTTACTTTCGTGGGCACTCTGCTGCATTGCATGTTAAAACAACGTGCGACATTATCTTCCGGACAACCTAATACAATAAAAGAAAACTAAAAACATCAGTGGTGCAGTATGGCTCCTATCTATATAACCTGCTCAGATAATCGCCGGGGGCAGGCGTCCATCCATTTTTGGGCAAGCGGGCACCGGAAAAATAGTTCGCTGATTTCTTGCGGTCCGCTTGCAGATATTTGGAAGAATTTTAGCGAAATTATGAACGAATGCTTGAAAGAACAATTGCGGTTTCCTTGCAGATTAGCTGCGGCGCAGTGGCCGCATTCTCGCGGACTTTCCGCGAGAATATGCAAAATTTTCGGGGGCCGCACGGTCCTTTATGGAGGACCGCGCAGCCCCCAGGTACTTTCCGCTGAGAGAAAGTACCTCAAACTTGAGTAATTAAACCATCGATGACTCCTCTGCCATGTAGAGTCTCACTTTTGCTCGGCGTACACCCGAAACTGCTTAAAAACCGTCCGAGCGCCAGCTGAAAATTTGACCAGCGCTCGCTGAAAGAGATTATTTGACGAGCGCCTGCAGAAAATTCTGTGTTGCTGCCCGCTGGCAGAACATTAGACAGTAAAGGAAGTGCCGCCCGCTGAAGGTTTGGCCACGCCCCAAAATTCTGCTGACCGCCTGCAGAAAAACGCGAGTTTGCGGACCGCCTGCCCCCAGCGATTGTCTGAGTGGGTGGCTTCCGCAAAGTTGCCTTTGCTTCCCGAATCTGTCGAAGTAAATGTGTGTTAAAGACAAGACAATATATAACGAACGAAACAGCGCATTTAAACAGCAACTGCAAACACACAATAATACGAGAACAAAAAAAAACAAAGCAAATGCAATGAAAACGAATAGATGATAAACTCACTACAAATGGATGGTAGAATGGATAACTGCAGTTGCCAATTCTATTCTTGGGCCCAATGCAATTTCAACATGTGGCTTATTAAAGAAGCGAGGAGATTGCATGCAACGCGCCAAATGGACAGCACGTTTCGCATCCACGACACGTCTTAGCAGAGCAACCGCTCGCTGCAGGGGGACCCCCAGCCACGGCTTGGCCTTGTGTGATACGCTGACCTATCACAGTAGTTGCGATTGGGGCGGACTTGAAAGGCCTCCACATGAACGCGCTCTACGAGAAAGGTCAGGCAAGTGTGTCTGAGCGCCGAGGTCCCTTGATGGTGACGATATTCGAAGATTTGAACGGCTAGATTTGGAAATTCGCAATTTTGCAATTTTCTGAGTTTTCTATCGTTTATTTTCTATAATCTTATTGATTGATTTTCGTGTGTTTGTAGGTAATTCATTCCGCTGAACATTGCATAGTAAATCAAGTAATATAACTAAAACCATTACTCTCACTCATGGCGAAACCTTGGATTGCGTTCCAAAACCGGCACCGGCAGATCACCGGCATAGGTTTGTATTCTTAATCCAACTAAGACATGCGTGGACAATAGTACGAACAGATAAAGCCAACAATATCGATGCAACCAAGCATAGAGCCATATATCAAAAAGTTATACCGAACTCACCCATGATTCGCAAAGCTCAAAGAGCCAGCTTTAAGGGTACCGTTCACGCAATCAATGGTAGCGACGTTTATGTGCAAAAAAGCATTTCTGCACTTTGAAGCTCCTCTATCAGTTGTCTGCCAATTTCCTCGTCCCGAATCTTTACTTAACAAAAGATGATTACAAAGAAAAGTTATTTCGAATGTAGATGACCTTCGCTTATTGGTGGGGCATCAGGCGGTACAGCCTCGGAAGGTGGCATAGTTTTCGCCGAGCGAAAACGTAACGGCTAAGTTTGAAGTTATATATTCGTAGGCAATTGACGTGATTCGGTGTACTTGTCTGCATCACGTTATTGATGACGGATAAAGAATGAAACAAGAGGTCACCTTGAATTGGGCTTAATAATCCCGTCGATCTTTCTGAATACGTTGAGAGTTAAAGTCTCAATTTTATCAGTACAATAGAAGGTTTGATCAAACCTTCAAAATCCAAAATAATAGTATATTGAAGCCGTAATATTTTACAAGGCAAAAGTGCCGACGCCGCGATTGATATCACGAGCAAATAGGTGCGACTTGAGCCTAGAAGCTTAAATATCCAGACCTCTTCTTCAAGTTCCTAGACGATCTAGAAACGTTATAAAAAGTGCTAATGCGAAATCATGCATATACACTCATAGCTGTTAGGATAAGACCAACACCCACTTCTGATGGGTACACCTAGCGGCGTTTTCCTGTTTCGTGAGAACCAGTTGTCGAAAGGACTGGGATGCCGTCTTCGTTTTTTATGGGAATGTTGCCAAATGTTGGAAAACTCTACTACTAATTCAACTACTCTTGGCAAACCTGTAGGCAACAAATGAGGTTCACACGGTAAACTTTTGACAGTCGTAACTTCTCCAGTGTGAAGTGCATACATGCATCAACGTTGATGAACTGAATACTTTAACAAGGAAGGTCGTAAAAAGGTACGGAAAGACAACAAGCTATGTTGACATGACGTGGAACACGCTGAGGCGGTGTTGCAAGCCCATCCTATATGTGTTTGCGCAAATTCGGTGCAAGACAGTCCTATTGCTCTTCGCCGTTGAGATTCGATCGCAGGCTCCAATAAATTAAAACAACTTTATATTTGAGAGAATTCCTGTTATGCAACGAACACTTACCCATAAAACCCTAATCCACATGTCCTGCAAGCACTGCACATAGAAAGGTTTTTCCTTCAAGCATGCACAAAAACTGACTGCATTTGCATCATTATAGCATCACGCGAGAGATTGTAATAAGAAAAGCAAAAGACTTACCACTGTAGCATTTTTCAGTTGCTCTATTTCACAATTTTTCATTTGCACCCTCTGTTATAGCTTTGATGGCACAGGTTCAACCATCGAGCTTTTGCTGGAATTGATGTTCTAAACGAAAGCAGATATCACTTGATGGATTATCATTTTGACAGTACAGCAGTATACGGCAAGGAACAACATTCCAACGGCCAAATTGAAAAGGAGCTCCATGTTTTAGTATCCGAACCCCAAGTCTTCAAAATCAAACTTTGAAGGGCATCCCGGTTCTGCGCTATTCCATATGCAACTTTTACATAATTCACAAGACTTGGATAGATTTAGTGCAAAAGTGGGGGTGGGGGAGGGGTACTGCACATGCTGACTTCCATAACTAAAACTCTAAACAGGTGAGATGCTTACTGTATAACCAACTCAACCCCGCAAAAACTGCTTTCGTGCGAAATCAACATGCTTCTTGTGATTGGCTTGTTAGATAGCCTCGACCTCTACAGCAAATTTTAGCCAAATCCGAGACCTCGGAGGACTACTACTATATATCCACCGTAATCATGCGGAGGTGCATCAAAGAATGCTCGTGAGAGCATATTGAACTTATCGTTAGATTCAGCGAAATCCGAGAATTCTTGTTCAAGACAGAGTCCGGACTAAGTTGAGGGTTGTGGGATCTTACCGTTAGTGCCATGTAAAAGTGGTCGCCCTCCGACAAGCCACTGTACAAGTGCAAAGTCATAAAGTTCAATCAAAGATGTAAAAGTTGGGAAGTGGGGAGACACCTCAATGGGAGAGCAGGGCAACTCACTTCGCGTATCCAAACGGCAAATACAGTACACACGCTGCAGCAACTGAAACTATAGGGTCTTACAGCGACTCTGCTTCTCAGCTTGGAGAGAACTGTTACAGTCGTCCAAATTCAAGGAGCCTTAGAAAACGCCTGTTCTTGCCGTTCTCGCGCTTTTTAAGATGAATATTTAGCGTAGAGGAAGAGCCCAAGTAAGCAAAGAAAGAATTAAGTTTTTGCGCGGACGCTGTTTTTAACGTATGCTACGTATTAATTCGGTCGATTATACATAGTCACTATGCCAAATAACCTTTTCTATACGAAGATTTGGGGAATTTGAGTTTTCAGATTTTCACTGACCCGAATACCCGAAAAACTCTTTTCACTTGAAAGCATGGGCAAGTCATTAATTTGAACTGGATTTAGTCCATGAGAATTATCCGTTACGATGATCATAAAAATAGTGATCTTTCACCGCGATAGTATTCTATTAGAGATAGCCCGAGTATACGGAAGATCCAGATCAAGCATGAATTGAACTCAAATTCAGTATAGGATCTTCCGCTGGCGTTCAATTGAGAAGTATAGTGTATACGGCAAGAGGCAAAGATGATGGAAAACGCAATTTTGCTCAAATGGTGCGTGAACATCCGGCTTGCTATTTGATATTTCAATACATACCTCCCATAAAAAGGAAGAGGAGAGGTTATGCAACATGTTGATCATCAAATCGTTCTTTTCGCTCAAAGGGTAGTCACGATAGTTACAAACGGCCAAAATTTGCTTTGAGGAGGTTGCCCGAAATATTAGTTATGTAATCACGACCGAAAGATGTATCAGGTTGGGTTCGTACTGATCCGTAAGTTTCGGAGCAGTTCCAGCACATCGCCGAAATGTGCGAGAAGCACTAGCATTTTGAAGCACAGTATGCATAAGATTCAACTTGAACGTCATGGATCTTAATCGCTCATCAATCTATAAATTACAAAGAGACTGGGCAATAGCATGTTGGCGAACACATTGACATTGACCGAATATGGAGTCATCGAATGTTTTGATCTTCACCGAAGCTGTAGCGAACAAATATGATTCTATCATTCAACAGAACAGAATGTGATTGTGAACAGTAAAAGGAACAGTGTTGCAAAAACTGGGACGGTCTCAGCTGACTTGCATATGACCTAGCAGTAACAACGCTCAGGACCCAGCACGAAGGCGGCGAATGGACATTGGTAAAAGGGCTTCGCCTTTGCCACTATCGATTTTTACGATTTCTTACTTGTTCCCGCCAGCTGCGTAGGATGTCCTATTGGAGCGCGCTTTCTTTCCTTAGAAGAACCGGCACCATTGCTATTCTGGATTCAGTTGCCCATCTAATTTGGAAAAAAGTCGGGCATGCTCTTCATTCATTCAAGTTTTTCATGATTTTCTTACTTTGTTCCTGCTTCTACTGCGCGCATACACACCAAATCTCGCGCGATTTCGTCATCTCTGCGTTGAAAACGAGCCATTTTCCATTTTTGGTTGCAAGAGATTTTCAGAAGACAGCTTGCCACAACTTTCGGTCACATAACTTTTCAATGAAACTTCTCAGTTAAATGCAAAATTTTCGGAAAAATACTTGTTACACTTTTCATTCACACAAGATTTTCATGATTTTTCATACGTTGTTTCCACTAGCCTCTCTTCGCTCGCTTACTAAATTTGGTGCCATATATCGTCACGCATGCATTGAGAACTAGACATGTATGTTGTTACAAATAACATTGTTTAAAGGCACCGTCCACCCAGATTCTCGACTTCCAGGTTTTTGGCGTTTCAGGGCCTTCTCATGTTCCTGATACCAAATATGAGGTCAAGAATCCGCGAAAACCCCGTGTATGTTCGTTTTGGAGAACCCTCTCTGAGAAGGGTGGACGAGTACGATATCGCAGGCTCTCGGGGTCCGCTGTTATGCGTCATCTGAAAAGTCGTCGGGCGCAATTGCGCCGACACTCCTCATCGTCTTATTCTTTTTCGAGTGCTATTATTGCGTTATGCTTCTCTTATTCCTACATCTTGATCTTCCTTTGTTGATTTTTTCTCTTCAGTGAGCCTTCCAAGTTGTTGTTATCGATTCACCGAATGTTGCATGTGGAGAAATTGGGTTTTTTCGGTCTCTTCAGTAAGCCTTGTTAAACTTGAACTGCCACGCGGAACTATAATGTAGTGTTCGAAGTCGAAGCTCCAAATACGTTTATTCTTAATCTTCAAATATGTACAGATCTATACAGATTCACTCACACGCCGTATGGTCGGGAGTGCAAAACTTGAGAATATGCTGAACTTGATGATCTTCCAGCGAACTTGAGAATAAGTAGGACTTGATGGACGTCCAGCGAACTTGCACTCGAACTTGAAGGGATGGACAAACTTGAGTAGGAACCAAGCATGCTCATACGGCGATATGGGCTCTTTTTATACATCCACAGATCTGATAAAACTAAAATCTCAAAATATCTTTCAAGGGAAAGTAAATATAAGTGAGCTAATAAGCGTTACGAAACAAAACTTGAAGTGTGAAAACTGTACAACTCGAGATGATTCATCAAACAAATATGACATGGTCAAAAGGATATTGCATATACTATTTACAATCATTATCACTTGGTCGTCGATGTCGTCGACACTCCCCACGCCGTCACTGAGTTAGTCTGCGATAGTTGTTCAATGCTTGTCTGGAGTCGAGAATTCTTTGCTTTGCCAGTGGTCTCATGTCTGGAACATTGCACAGCGCTCGATGGTGTCCAACATCTCTTGGAAGGAGGTCCTCGAAAATGGTTCCTTTCAGTCTCTTGCAGTATCAACACTCCCTCGCGGCGTAAGCGCATTCCTTGTCGGGAGGACAGTCTTCAAGACAGAATCGACAAAGTTCTTTCTGGCGGATTAGATCCAGTCTCCTGTCTCCGTTGACGTAGTGTGGGCAGGAATCTGAGAAGTGTTCGCTGACTTTATCGCAGAAAGCACATTGGACTCCTTTCAACGGTTCGTTTCTCTTATTTTCCGACAAGGACACTTCTTGCAAAGTTCCTTCCATCTCGATTATTTCGCGTTCGAGCCTTTTCTCCCAACTTTCCGGTCTGTGAATTTTCCGGGTTTTGGCCGAGGGTCCTTGATACTGATCGGGGAGAGGCGACGTGCGTCCCTTTTCCATTCTCCTTTCCTCGTGCGAGCGTTTTTCTTCCTCATGTGAGCGTTTTTCTCTTGGTCTGCTTGTTTGTTGCAAATCCCTTTTGAACCGTTCATTTTCCTCGCGCAGCCTTTCTTTGTCTTGCTTCTGTCTCTCGATCTCGCGCTCTAATTGATCGATTTCTTGTTGATGTTGGCGCTGCTTCAGCGTCATCGTTGCTGATGAATTAGATGTTCATGGTTGTCAGCACAAGGAAAGTTACCCTGGTATGTTGTGTTATGGAAATGACATAGTCTTCTTTTGTCCTACTTCTTTTTTATTGGCTGTCCTATGGTTTAAAGTTGTGTCTGTTTCGTATTTCAGCGCGAGATGGCTTTTTTGTGCAACGTAGAAATTCCCATACGCGGTGTCTCATTGACTTGTTCGCTGTAAATGCCGAACGGTGGTGTACGCCTGCATCCTTTCGTAGGTGAGTACGGGCGGAAGCCTATACATAGATTCTACTACTTCAAACTGCTTTACAATCAATTGTCTCAAAATTTCCTTCATTGCGACTGGTTTTCAGATTGGTTGTCACTTATGTCACGTTAGGCTTACGTTTTGCAGAAATACGAACTGGAGCGGACACGTTGTTTTTGCGCAGGTAGTGCAGTTGTGGTAAATTTTGTAGCAGAATTTGCAATGTTTCTTAGGGCGCGTTGCGGAATTATGCTGCCCCGCTTCACGTACCTTCGATGAGATTTGGTTGGTGCAGAATCGGGAGACTGCCGCAAAGATTGCAGTGAGCGTTTGCACACTAACAAGGTTTGCGGAACATGAACATGTTCGTTGTCAATACAGTCACCTCACTGCAGGGGTTGCTGTATATGTATATCCCAAAATGCGAAATTGTTTAAGGGCAACGTCCACCCAAAATCTCGAATTCAATGTTTTTGTCGCCTTCAGGCCTTCTGAAAGCCCTGATTTCAAATATGGAGCCGAAGATCCGCGAAACCCCCAAAAATCCCTGTTTCGAGAACCCTCTGCAACAAGCGCAGGTGAGATAAAGCATGCAAGTGGACGGGGCGACCGGGGTCGCCCCGCCTACTTTGTTACTTCCGGAGCGGATTTCTCGCTCCAGAAGCAGTCTTTTGCGGCGAAGCTTGGAGGTTTGTCTAGTATGGGAGCCCACACTAGTATGTCATCATAATCTCGCCAACCTCTATTTTGGGTGGAGGTGCCTTTGAGGGACACAATGACTATCAGTCGAAAAACTGACGGTCATCTGGCGCTCACCATTACTGCTACTATTTCCTGTAACGTTCTCAACGAAATCTAATCGAGGTGTGTCTCAATATTTTCACTTGCTTTTTGAGTTCTTTTCCGCTTCTTTACGTTGATGTTTATGGTTACGTATACATTTTACAATGATTACACATTGTTATGGCTACCGATCATATCACAAGTTCTTCGACTCCATCTCTTCTTCATTAGTTGTTCGTTCGTTGTAGTGTAATAGGAAATCTATCCAGATTTGCTTACGTCAGATATGTTCAACAGGCGTCTTGCGTTCGATTCTCCTTCTCACTGAATTTTCGGTGGACTACGGTCATCGTTGTACTACTCTTTCCCCATCCAATTCTGCTATTCGTAAGGCGTTTTTGTGCAGTGACGACAATTTCGCATAGAGAGAGTATGTGGAGGATGGCCTAAAAATGGGGAAAATGGAATTGTTTTGGAGGACAGGGTTCTGCGCTGTGGTACTCACAGGTAGACTTCTTTTGGACCATAGATACGATCCAGTGAGTTTTTGGACTCGCACTGGCTAGTCCCACCATAGGGATTAGCCAGTGCGATGTCTTTCCAGAACGCATCCTGGAGAATAACCTCTTTCAGTTTGTCGTGTGCTAAACTTCCCCAGGTGATATTTTCTCGATCTTCAGGAAGTAGTCCTTGGTGGTCACAATGGGTTATATCTCCTGTGAGGTGTTCTGTAAAAGAAGATCAGAAGCGTCCGTGGTCGAGGTAGTATTTCACCTGAGGCCATCGATGTATGTCTGCCCTGTGGTATAGGCACGTATTGAAGTAGTGCCTCACCACCTCTCCGCTGTTGTTTTGAGCACCGTGTTTTATAGAGTAGTAGCCGTTATGTGGTCCTTCCAGTCGTGAATCGCCTCGCAATCCTTTCTCTTTCCGACCTGACTCTGTATTTCAGAGAGTGGGACCAAGTTTTGCAAATCTTACCGCTCGCATTTTATCTAGGTACTTTGCTAGATGCCAGGGGTCCACATACCACCTGACCTGATCTCCATATTCAGCGTTGTACGACTCAATCTCTGTCTTGAACGCGTAACTGCGATCGGTGGAGATCGAGTGAATTGGAACATTCATTGATCTAAACCATCGCAGTATGCGGTGGAAGCCGGCTTTCCCCATGCGTCCACTCTTACCACCTACAATGTTAATTTGAGTTCCCGAGTGAGATGGGTTCTTCTCTGGCGCAACCTGTTTCTGACCGGTGCACAGCTTCAGTATGCACGTATAGTCCAGTTTCAGATCAATGGCGAGGACTTTGCCGAAGTCCGCACTGTGGCCTCTGCTGTCGTAAGCCCCATCAATGGCTATATTTCATCCGGGCTGGACTTCATTCTGAACATGTGGCACAATGGAACCTTGTAGTTTGCTGGTTCGTCCTTTAGTTGGTTTAGCTTATAAGCGTTCTTGATACGCACGAGAGTTTGTGCTTCATGTTTGTCATAAACCGTTTCGATCGACGGTATCATTCTTTTGAAATTTTTATGGAATGTCGTACTACACGGCAATAGCAGATTCATCTCTGATGCCCAGTTGTTCAGTTTCTGAATAGATTGAACTACGAAGTAAACAAGAGATAGTTGAATTTATCACAGTCTAACGCGCTCCTGTCGTTATCGCGGCTGCGCACGCTAGGGTTGTTTCCGCTGTACAGCTTTTTGTGTACATCTTCTACAAGTTTTTCGTGGCCCACCCACTTTTTGACCTCCGGTTTCGACCCTTTGGTGACGTACTTGATGATTGGTATAGCGGCAGACGCCTGCACCTCCAGGCACACATCTCCGGGTTCGGTGCCATTGCTGCACCCACACCTGCTGAGGTTGAAAGCTCTAAGAGCTTTTTTTCTTGGACATTAAAATATTTGTCCAGCAGAGAGGGGTCAGTTTCTTCCAATTCGGGTGCCGCTTCGCTGTCAGATGTTGGCACCTTCCCGGGCGAAAAGTAGGAGCCGCTCTGAAATGATTTGAATGAGGATTAGTGGATGGAGTTTGCTGGAATTAATGCCAGTATGCTTTCTAACCGCAGTCTTGTTCGATGATTCTGAATCTGTATGTTTCACACATGGTGTGCTAAGAAGGCTGCTAGCAGTTTTGCTTGGAGATCCTAAGTTCTGTGTTTCTGCAGGAAGCGCTTGCAGCATCTGATAATCACGGGAAAGTCGAAGTTTTGAGAGCCTGATGTTCCGGCCTCCGTTATTGGCTGAATATCGTATAACGAGTTCATAGCCTAAATCATCAGGGGGGGAGAAGCACCTGTAGATAATCAGCTTTTGCCAGATTTGCGGGCTGAGTGATTTCCCAGCTGCTCATGATAGTATTTCTTCAGTTGTCCGTTTAGGTAACGCATCAGATCATAGTTGCTGACTGTGATGTTGTTCTAGAAAATTTCGTTGCTGCAGATTTCCTTTGTCTTCTACGCAAACTGACCGAAAAGGACTTTATGGCATCATTGACGCTTGCTAGAATATGCTCAAAAATTTCAGTCTGATTGATGTATGAGACATGGTATCTAGCGTTTCGGACAGTCTTCCGCCGCTTTCAATCACTTCCGCGAGAATGTATTGCGTCTGGACAACAATTTACTATACTTCTTTTTGAACTGCTGAAAGACCTTCAGCGTCGATGCAGTGCCCGATGCAATAGTATCTTCTACACGTGCTCATAGCTGCAAAGCATTCCACTTTGTTTGATATGATTGATGAGTACTTGTTCAATGCAGCCAGGAGTATCGCGTTGTAGGTCTTGTTAGAGGACGAACGCGTTGTAGATTTTTCTTCAGTCTTGTTGCCGCATAGAAAGCATGTGATAGGCATGGTTGATCGCAATAGAATCTGAAAGTGTTGCTTCGATGGATTAGGTGTTTTTCACTCAGAAATAGTGTTCCAGTGCAAAAATAGCACTTTTGCCTCATAGACGTTTGAATATGACTGTTTGTTTTTGTTGTTGTTGTTTACAAATAATTGGTCAAGATTATAGGCTATATATCCTGATCTGTATGATATGAAAACGTCTTCTTGGGGCAGCAGACCATCTTGGTCAATCACCACTTGCCACTGCAAAAACAACAACAGAGTCCGTATCTGGCCTGCAATTCACAATACAGAACATACCGAAATCCGTGAAAGTTTGACTTGTCTTAGACCTCCGCTGTCATTAACACAAGGCAAGAGTGACCATGACGCACAAGGAAACATTGCGAGCTTGTGAACCCGCAGAGAGACATCTCGCATGAACATACTCCATATACATTTTGCACTTTTTGTTTTCCAGTTTCAAGTAACTCAGCAGATTCTTTCATTTCTGCTACCTGAATGCTTTATTTTAAACTTGTTTTCCACTTTGTATACCTTTTTTTGCCCCTTGATTCTCATGAGTTCAAAAATTCTATTCCAGGCAACGGCTCCCTTTCTCATGGTCAGAGAAGACTGCTTCATCGAGATGTGATCTTCTGCGATGCGATTTTGCACTTGTAAGAAAGACTTCAAACTCATATTTATCAAGCCATTCCTGTAACCACCAAATCGAAAAGGGAAAGAAATTACTGCAGCGAAATTTACGTGATGCAATGAGATCATTCATCTATAATCAAAGAGATAATAATAAATTTGTTTAACTACATCCGTTTCTTCTGCACACGTCCATCTGCTCGACAGTATGCGGTAAATCTAACTTTTCTCCAATCTCTGCCGATGCAGTTTCTGATGCAGTTATGAACCCTCAACCAAGAGGTTTATCGCAAACTTGACCGCAAGAGACAGCTTGAATGTGGCAGGGAATATTTTTGCGAAGCTGAACATACGATCTGATGACTTCATAAAAACAATCTTCGGCTTAGTACCTCGTGACCTCCATAGCACGTCCTCTCTACCAGCGCTGTACAAGGTGGACATTGCTCTTCACCGTGGCATGTGTACGTCACTGGATGACTGCATGCATGCGGCCTGGCACATGGGAAATCACAATCTGGTAATGGGGTTCCACAAGGTATTGGAGGTGGTCGCATAATGCGTCCGCAATGACAGTATTGTTCTTCAAAACCTGAATAAAAGGATTACTGAGTGTATGATCAACCAATGAAGTTTATGTGAGCCATTCAATTCAGTGGAACTGGAGTTATGGAAAAATTAGAAGAAAACATTTCTGACACATGTGCGAAATTTTACTTGAATTCAAAAATCTCGGACATTGTGCAGCATGACAGATGTGTTCACAAAAGTGAAGACCACATGAGAGTCACTTGTTGCAGATCTAAAAATAAGACAAGGTGCTAATTATAAAATTGACAAAACTATTTTGATGCTGAATGAGTCAAAAGAAGTCCAAAAAACATACTTGCATGCATATATGCTCGATTTGTATGCAGCATACTTCTTGGCATTTATAGATTCTACAAGATTTCCTTTTCTTGCAGCGTCTTTCATACAGAAACTCACTGCCTAGATGGAACCGCATTAGCAGTAATAACCAAAAAACACGTATAAACATTTGCTAGCAAAGCTTTAAATTTCTAATACCGCTTCTCGTCTAGAAAAAAAATGAGAAGGGAAACGGCAACATAACATTAAGTCTTACTGGAAATCCGCTCACCGAAATGCACATGTATCCGCAGAAATTCAGATCCAAATCGTAGAAAATCCCCATGTTCAATCTCTCTTTCATCATTGGTCTACACATCTAATATATAAAGAAACGTAAGCGCAATTCAAAAATCTGCAAACAGCGGGAAATCGCGCGGCGGTCCCAGCGCGCGCGAGGATGCAATCTAGCACCTTTATTGGTTCACTAGTCTCAAGAAAATACCGAATTCATGAGAAATGATGAAATATTTGCAATCAAGCAACTTTCATTGTATGTGCAGTTGACTTAAGGTGAAAAAGTGATTTCTAGCAGGCATCAAAGCAAAGCAGGGTGGAACTATTCAATTTACAAAGTCAATGGACTCGAAATAACGTCAAGAGATAAAAACAGCGCGACATATATACCTTCAATCCATTATCGTTCAGGGCAACACGACCTTTCTCTGTAACCTTCTCTGTAACATTTCTGCCCAGCGTCACAGCGGCTCCCTCGTCAGAAGAAATTGTTTTCTAGACACAATATGATTAGAGTTTCCTTGAGCGGGAACAATTACAAAGAACTACCTACCTTAGCTCGCTGAAAGCATCTGACGGTAATGTTGTGCTGGAACCGTCAGCCAAACCTGCTTACAGTAGACTGCCTCCTTGCACGACTGTTGTAACTTTATCAGGAAGGATATAGAAATACATCAAAAAGTACAAAAGACGCTCATATATTGAGAAGCCAGTCGAGAATATGAGAGATTTTGCAAAATACTCGTACGGCATTTACCCGTACAGGACGCCACTTGACGGTCTCGCTGTAGTGCGCTTACAGCCTGCGTGTCCGAGGGAAATCGACCGGGTGGGCGGGCATGGATGGGGAAAGGCTGGCATGGATGGGGGTCCACGTGCATCTTTGCTATCCCGGAGCGATATTCTCGCTTCCGAAGCGGCGTTTTGCGGCGCGACTTGGGCATTGGCTCAATAGGGGGCTCTACTATTATATGCCGCTAAAAGCTCAACACCTTCAACTTAGGGTGGACGGTGCTTTTAAGCGACATCGCGCGTGCAGCAACTAGTGACGATGCGGTTTGACGCGCGAACTGAAGTTCGCCTGTTGAGGCACATAACATGTTAAGATAAGAGGGAGCATCAAATACCAATTTTCGCGGGCTTCGTCCCGACCTCGCAAAAACGATGTCCCCTTGGCTTTTTTTACCCAAAACGATTTCTAGCCTGTCATTTGCCCACCTCGTATGGGCCCTGTCAACACTGTTTTCAAGCTACAGTATATATTAGGATGATCGGTAAAAAATGGGGCAGCTTGATTTTTATTAAACTTTGAGATTTTTTGTTTCGATCAACAACAAGCAGGCCGCAACGTAAACGTCGCTTATATTAGGTTGTCCCGAAAGTTTTGTCGGTTTCTTCAAACCACTATAAAACCACGCACAATAAACACATGAATGAGTTTTAAAGTGCATTCGATGCAACTTTCTCTTCTCTTTCTTATGGTTACATTTTCGAACCGCGATCCTGTATGCTTTTTTTGATAATTGCCAAAATTTTTCACCAGCCATTTTTATCTGCTTGAAGTTAGGCTATTTTTCAAAAATTTCTTTCCAAAGTTTCGGAGAGGGTTGAGTAAGTATCAAATAGAGCGATTCCAGGACTTTACGGAGATATTTTTTGATTCTCCTAATCTGCTGCGTTTAGCTCAAAAAAATTATTTCTTCGGAGGCCTTGATTTTCAGCAAAGTCATGAAAAACGCAACTGCAGCAAAAGCAAGAAAACTTTTGAAGTTTCTGCGAATTCAAACTTGATTGTTACTAAACATTATTTATGCAACATAACCAAGTTTGATTTGCTTCAAAAATCAGCTTTTTGGAATTTTCGGTACTTTTACGTGGTAAACTTATTCAAAAAGCCGCGGTTTTTACTGAATAAATAATCATAACGGACTTGATAAACGAGGCTCACGTGATCTAAAATAAGTAAAATGTAGCCAAAGGTTTGGTCTACATAACAGTCACCAGCGCTCCTTGAAAATAGCAGTATAAAAATTTTGAAAATTCAGGAAAGATTTGACGCTACTGCTGAGGTGCTCAAAAAGCCATGGCGATAACATCACAAAGACGGCGTAGATCAGAAAACAAATATAGCTACAAGAAAGGGGATAAAAATCTGAATAGAATGGTACCTAGATCGTCCATGGAATGGCTTTCTGTGAGTTTGACTGAGCGATGAAAAAAACCGACAAAACTTTCGGGACAACCTAATATAAGCGACCTTCGACTATTATTTTGGCAAAGCGTCAACGCTCCCCTCCCACAATCCTACGCAGGCGCCCTAAAGAACTCGAACAGGGTTCTTTGAACCTCGCTCATTCTTGCGCTGCCATACCGCAAAGTTATAGAGCAATTGATATACCATTCGAAAGAGCTGTTCATGCTTTTTCAAATAATATATTGAACATACAGGATTTCTTTCTATTTCTGGGTAAAAAAAAGCGAAATACCTGAAAAATCGCGATTTTTTGGCGCAACAAAAACCAGTAAATTAAGTTTCAATCTGTTTCTCC